TGAAAGAACAGTGATCAGGGCCGGCGAGATAGCTCAATGCACTAAGAGCCCACTTAGGCAAGTGTAGGTACCAGGGTTCAATCCCCAGCACTACATGCCATGCCAGCCCCACCCCTAGGTGAGCTGAGTGGGCCACTGAGACTGGGTGTGGTAGTGCATACCTGAAAACATGAGGATCACTATGAGTCCAAGCTGTGTAGTGAGACCCTGTAACAAATATATTTTTTTAAAAAAAGGACTGGTGATCATTCTGGACAAAGGAGTTACAATCAGAGAAGCATAAGTTTGTTTTGGATGGCATTACTTGAGATGCTATGCCAGGATTCAGGTCTTCATTCAGTGAAACTAGGGGATTTTTTGGCACAGAAAATTGACTTTTTGTTGTTGTTAAGTCACAAATGAAAAGAAGCAATATTGTATGTTGGAAAAGATGACTTTACTTTATAAAGGCATAGCATAATTAATAGTGTGAAGAATTCCAAGATAGCAAAGTGATTGCCAAATAGACCCTGTCATTTACTTCCTCTGCTTTTTTGCCAATCAACTGATGCTTCTGTGTCGACAAAAAGTTTGTGAGTTTTTTTCTTTTAAAATGCAGTTAAAACAATACAGATAAATTAAGCAATTTCATTCTAAAATGATGAATGTAGTATATTGATATTCACATTATAATTTTCACTATAGTGTAAAATACATCCAGTAAAAGGATTGAAAAGTGAGACACTTTACATTTGAGCTGTTAAAACAGGAGCAAGTTAAAGGAGAAGTGCATTGAAATGAAGGAACGATAATGAAAACTGAATTGAGAAAATCTGGAAAATATACCAGGCATGTCTCAGTTGCCTTTCTCTTTGCTGAGACAAATATCCAGCACTCACAAGTTAAAGATGGAAAGGTTTATTATAGTTTAGAGTTTGCAGAGGATTCAGTTCAGAGGAGGCTGGTACCAAAGCAGGGCAGCACTGCCGAGGGGCATGGCAGAGGGTGAGCGGTCCATGGCAGGGCAGCCAGGAGGCAGCAAGCGGCAAGATGCTCTTCCCTTTTATTCTGTCCAGGCTACATCCTCATAGGAGGCACCACTCACACCTACACCTAGAACTATGAAAAACCAATTAGTGAACTAATCCAGTGCCACACATGCTTTACCTTAGTGCCTCACCCTAGATCCACATTCACACATCCTAGATCCAGGCATCTCTGCAAAGCTGCACCTATGATGAGGCTTTAGGGAGACACATAGGTACAAGCCATAGCAAGGTATGATCACAGGCTATGGTAAGTACTTAAATTTATTACAGTAAAAGGAACAGTGATCCTTCTTACAGTACCCCGCCTCACTTCAAGCACTTTTTTATCCATCAGACTTGTCCCTGTCTGAGGTTCTGGCAGTCTTCTTCCATAACAGTCTTTGGCTGACCTGTGTGGTTGCCTCAATGTCTTGCATCAATTCACAATTTTTACTTTTTGTGATCATTTTGAGTTTGGGGGACAACCTGAGTTGTACAGTACCAGGTCTAATGAGTAAGGAGGAAGAGGAAATACCATATATTTTTATTTGACAGAAATTTCCATGAAAATCTTGATTCAGTTCAGGATTTGGAAGTAGCTATGAAAAGACACTTGTGAGTAAAGACTTCTAGAACTGCTTCAGAAAGTGCCAAGAATGGTGGGATAAATCTACTTGATATGAGAGATTGAAAAGGGATTAATGGCAATATGTCTTTTACTTAAATAATTTTAAAATTTTTACTTAAACATTCACTGTACTTTGTGATCACACTGAATATGTTCGTGTGCATGTATGTGTGTACACATATGGCAGAGGACCTTATTGTGGTGGTAAGTGCTACCAACAGCCAGCCTGTGGTCCAAGGTGTCACACTTCCCAAGCCGTACTTCTTACATGGATATGGGGAGACTCCTGCCTACTTCATTATCAATGACTTGTTCTTTTGTGGCAGTATGTTTTATGAATGTGAGTCCATTGAATATATTTGAGATACATGTTGGTTTCACATTTGAGGCAATCTTCTGAAATATTGTTTGTTAATATAATCATACTATTTTATATAATAAAAATTTTGTGGTATTGTCATGCATTCAAGCCAAGCTTATTGAACTTTTTCTCTACTGACAGTGTATATATGTCCAGTATGCCCATATAGATTTATACCCTACAGAGTCGATTTCTTTTCTGAACCAAACACTTCTCATTTTCATCCTCCCCCTGTCTCCTTTTGCTGTTACACCATCTTCTGCAGCTTCTGCGATCCTTAGGAAAGGACTCAACACTCACCGCATACCAGCGTGGTGAGCACTGTGGCTGTCACCTCACTTCCTTTTAGGATAGCCGAGCAGCACAGCCCTGACCCATTTTACAGAGAGGAAACAGAAGTGGTACCCTTCCCCAGGGAGCGGGGGGCGATGCTGGGCGATGCTGGGCGATGCTGGGCTGAGTCTTGCTGACTCCAGGGTGACTCGGCAGAAGGCACTACTTTACCTCATCTGTGCACATACACACACTGTTTTCAGGTTGTGAATTTTCAAATCTTTTCCATTTCATTAAAAAAAAAACCCTTATTTTTGATCGGTAAACTGTGGTGTTCCCCATCTTTTTTCCTATACCCACTGTATTTCTTTCCTATTCCATAGATTCTGCCATTGTGTAGCTTCCTGTTTTCTCTCATTGATGAAGTGGTTCATACGTCCTACACATTTTCTGGCCCCGCTGTGTTTCTACATTCTATCTTTTTTCTGTATTTCACCACATGACATATTTATATTTATATTTTTGTATAAATTGCATCAACTGGAAATAGTACAAAGGATATTGATTTTTGTGGGGTTTTTCTGGTATTAAATCATGACACTTGGAATTGTTATATTTTTGAACTTGGCTACTGTTTTTTCTTTGGAGAAGTTAAATTATGTACCTATCATCTATCTATCTATTATCTATCTATCTATCTATCTATCTATCATCTATCTATCTATCTATCTACCTACCCACCTATTTGCTGTTAGTCTCAAATCGACCTCAGACCTCAGTGGATTTGTGTATTTTTTTTTTTTAATAGGAACAACAGTTGAGAATAACCAGATCCTTTTCTATGGGGACCAGTCAAATAATGAGCCTGTGTAATGGTTGGTCCTGTAGTCGCATTCTAATTCTTGAACTAAGTGAGGGACTTAGAGCCAGCCTCTTCTTTAGATGACAAAGGCTGAGCGTCAGCCATCTCGGGCTGCGCAGCAGGGCTCCGTAGCAGAGGTCAGTAAGTAACGAAGGCGGAAGCCAGGATGGAGTGGGGTGTGGCCAGCTGAAGATGCTGACTGTTCAAGGGCAGCTGCCTTGTTCGTTGCACTATGATGCACCTGCCGAGATACAGCTTGGGGAGGCAACAGCAGATCAAGGGGGTCCAGCACAGCAGTGACAGTTCCTGCCAGGAAAAGATGCTGGAAATTCAACTAAATGGCAGCAGCAGGGCTCTGGGAATCATGTCTGTTCACAGACATAATCTACTCCAGAGAGCTGAGTGCTGAGAGCAGACTCCAGTTCTCAGGCCTGGCAGAGGTGAGCAGTGGTATCAGGGCCAAGGCCAACTGGTGGACTCCATATGAGAAGTGGAGATCTGGACGATTTAACTCAAGTAAAAGCCCAGCCTCTCCTCTCATTGATGGGTTTGCCACAGACAGCGGCTGCTCTTTTAAGAGAAACTGATTGTTTAACTTTTTCAAGTGCTGCTGTGAACATTAAATGAGCAACGTAAATGAACCGATGCACCTAGTGCATAGTAACTTCCGTTTCCCCCCATTGTTTTATTATTATGTTTCCTAACTGGGCACAGTTTAGAAAAGCTCACTTTCCCTAGAATCTTTATTCTAATTTTGGCTCTTAATGTTGATACTGTTCCTCAGATGATAAAAAGCATCAATGCTGATGCCAGGTGGTATAATTTCTGCACAACAGAATATACTGAGAATTCTTTCCAGCAACCTTTGTGATTTGGGAAGTCTGGAAAAGCACCAGAGAATGGAGTGTTCATTGAACGTGCTAATATTTTTGTTTAGCGTAAGTGATGCTTGAGGCCTTAGGATGGTACTGCTCCTTATGATGGGAAGAACAGAGAATTTGGGTAGCAAATCCCTCTCCTCCCAAATAATATAACTGTGCTTCTAAAAGGAGTTGAGATACATAGCTACTATGCAGGGGATGCTGTGACAGCTGAAGGTTCCAGAGGATGCAACACAAATGGGGCTGTCCGACTTGTTTCATCTCTTTCCCCTGTTCTACACTGACTATTCTGCATATAATTAAAAGTATTTAAAGTATATTATGTCTTTATGACTAATGTCTCTTCTGAGACTTAATCAGAAGCAGGGATTTTAAATAAACAAAATGTCTACTTTGCTGGTGAAAAATTCTCTGTGCGAGGAATTTTTTGAACCTGTTATACTTACTGACATTGTGCAGGTACGTTATAAATAGAAGAGTTCACAGAATGTATTTTCCTACATCAAACTTCCTCCTTTCTGGGCCTTGTTGAATTTTTTTTTTTTTTGGCAACTTCCTAAGACATAATCGCCATTATTAGTGAAGCTGTATGTTACACAGTCATCACCCTTGGCTTCACATTTCCACTGGAAGGTTCCATGTACTAGATGGAGCCAAACATGATCAGAAAATACCATGTAGTTGCTGACTTATATTGAGTTGGCCTACAATGTTTGTAAAGGCTGTTATTTTCAAATGTTGTTGGACAACTGTTAACATGACATGCACATTATATTAGGTATTATAAGCTATCCAGATATTTAGTGAATAGGGGAATTATGCATAGGTTATATTCAAATACTATGTGATTTATGTTATTTCTGATTTTGATATTCGCAGAAGTTGTGGAACCAATAAGAGTCCAAGAATAGCTTACTTTAGGACAAGGAGAGATGGGTATGGAATATTAACATCTAAAGATTTATTTGCCCTTTTTGCTTTTTCCTAGAAGAGTCACCAGAAAGTCCCTCTGAGAAAATGGTCTCTGGTAAGTCATAGTATGAGCACCAAGTTAGTGTAAGAACCTTACCCATTAGGTTATCCATTGAAAAGTATGCAATTCTTTCAAAATCTCAGCTCTTCTAAATATAAGACTGTTGGTAACTGGGCACTTGTGGGGTCCTTTTCCATGTGGTGCATTGGTGCTTCCTAAGGGGATTTCTACCCTTGGGCTGTGCAGGTGCCTCCCAGGAGGAGCACAATGCTCCTGAAGGTGCTTCACTACTGCATTGGCCCCGTGCATCTGTTATTCTTCCTACCTTTCTAGCTCAGCTTAGGACTGTGACAAACACAAATTTATTCAGATCGCTTTCTGATAAGGATCTCTAGGTAGGCTTCCTTAGCACTGAGTGTTTCACCCAGTTCCTCTCATTTGTTCAGCCCTCGTGTTAGCTGACCTTAAAGTTGTGTACATCAACTGTGTTGAAGCAATGATGAGTGCATGACTGAGACACTGCCCTGTCCCAGGCTCCCTGAACCAGAATCATGCTCATGAGATTCCCAGGTGACTCAGCTGAAATGAAATTCTGAGCAGCACTGGCTTCTGGTATTGTTCAGTCTTTGTGCAAGCTTATTGCCCTTAGATATACAAATTTCCACACTGTGATGTGCAGAATTATTTGTACCCCAATTCCCCAACAAAAAAAGATGATTGCATATGTGTTGAGAATGTTAAAAATGTATTAGGAAATTTAAGCTATGTAATATACAGTTATGAACTGTGGTAACCATCATGAGGTCAAGGGTGCATTAGTTAACTTGACTGAAACTTTTAACAGTGAATTGGTACTTCAGAACTTCATATTGTCTGATAAATGTACTTGTTCAACTTGTGCTTGTCTATTCAAAGTAAATACATTTATAAAATATAATTTTATATGTATTTTCCTGCCTCTGCATACTTTTAATGACTTAAGTTCAATTATCTTTTCTCATACTTAGCACCTCAGTGTCAAAATTCCCTCACATAAATGCTGCTCTCTTATGTTATCCTACATGACAGAGTTAAGCAATATAATATTTTGTAGAAGATATTTTAAAATTCCCATATGAAATTTTTTAACTTTAGGGTGGGATAGAGGTGAATGACATGTTAGAAAACAGTCGAAGCCAACTTCTTTATGTGACCAGCAGTGGGCAAGCTATTCTGCCTGACAGTGAATAGGGAATCAAAATCAATTTCTATTGTTTGGTATGATCTGAATTATGTTTTCATTCATAAGCCTTGTCTTTTCCACAAGGCTAAAATAATTACGTGCATAATAAATTCCTCATCTCACTGACAAGATTTTTAAGATGAGTGGGCCAAGGGGGAATATGCACCCCACTTGTGCTGTGAAACATTCTAAGGAGAGAAGGACCACTGTGCAGTGCTTGTGCCTGGCTGGACAGGGAGAGGGCATGGGGTGAAGTCCAACCCAGGAATTTCCCAGGAACCCTTGTCCAAGACGTCCATCCTACTAGAGATGGTACAAGTGAGGAAACACCATTGAATCCGGGCTGAATTTGGAGCCAGCAGTCATTGGTTTTGTACCTCTTAAAAGTACATCTATGCTGAGGGACAATAAGGAGTCCAAAGCTATATATGGGCTCAAAGGGTAGAGGTGCACAATTAAAATGGTTGAAAGAGCCCAGTATGTTCGCATATTGGCCCTCCTCTTTCTGTGCAGAAATGGAATTTACCGTTTCTTCTCCACACTCATTGAACTCCATTTTCACTTTTATTTATGCAGTACACATTTATTAAATGCTTAGGAGTAGCCTGATACTGTGTTACACTCTGGGCATGCAAAATAGCAAATGATATGGTCATTACTCTTAAAAAACTTAGTCAAGCACAACAAAATAACAGTACTATGTCTTTAAACCATCCCATGCCCTTATGAATGAACAATATTGTAAAGGGTTACATTTTCCATTTTTTCTTAATCAGATCACAGTGAATAAAATCAGCTCAGTTTAATTAAATATTAATGGTATCCTGAAAACTGTCATTCTAAACTTATTTGATGTTCAAGACAAAGACTCTTGAAAAATTCATAAATCACAGTGAATTGTCATTCAATACAGAACATCTTTATGTAAGAACATGGGCTATGATGAACTAACTAATGTTGTGTTTCAGCACACATTCTAAATATATATACATATGTAATGGAGTGGCAGCTGTTCAGAGTAAAGATGGAAGCATATTCCAGAGAAAAATTCTAGTAGGCGTGCATCTGTAGATAAATAATGATCTCTTTCTCCTTCTTTGTCTTCTTGGTCCTATGCTTCCTCCTCTTTCATTCCCTTGGGACTACTAGAGTCTTTGTATTTTTCCTTGAGAAGGATGGTTTTGTTCTTCTATGTGGTGAATAGATTCTGTTTTAGTGACTGTGATAGTCACAGCTCAGGGACTGTGAATACAGGAAGCCCCCAATTCCTCTGTGAGTTTCTAACTCCTTATCTTAAATTTGTCAGATATTGGTGGCTCGTGCATGCTCAATTTGCATGGTTTTTCTCCCATTTGCCCACTCCCTGGATGGATGTGGGGCTATTGTGTTGCTTCTCGTTTGTAGAGTAGGAAGCAGAATTAGCCATTCTCAAAAGGCAGCTGAATAGACGTGAAGCAATACAGAAAGCAACATTCAGATTTTTCTTGAAGTTGGAGCCCGACTAGTGCTTTGGCATGAGGTACATTTTTATAAACTATGTTGTGCATTGTGCTTAGTTTTTTCTGCTTCATTGCACTTAGGTTTCCCTTCCTCTTCAACTTATGCTTATAAGGATGTGAAAAGAAGTTTAATGTCATTCCTTTCTCTACAAGCCTCTCATGATCTTGTGGCCCTAATAAAACTGAAGTTGACTTTGGTTCTGCACTGCAAAATGGGATAAGCCATTATGCTAGTAGTTCTGTTTGCATCCCTGAAGCTGCTAACTTCCACAGTCTGCACTTCTGTCACTGACTTTATTTATTCCAGCATTTGAGCCTATGATGCTTATATGTATTATTGCTGCCACCAGGGATACAGTAAATTCTCTTTCTCATTGGACTGCTGACTATTCAAAAGCAAAGACACAGTCTTGCTATTTCTTCATGATCCAAGTGTCACATTATTTGTATAGAGCAAGTGATCAAAAGTGTTTAGTTGAAAGAATGAAGACAATACAAATCTATTTACATTTAAAATACAAAATAGGGCCAGAGAGGAGGCTCAGTGGTCTAAAATGCCTGCTTAGGCAAGCTTAGGAAAGCCTACGGACCGTGGTTCTATCTGCGGCACCACATGCTGGGCCAGCCCTTCCCCAGGGCAGGCTGAGCTGGCCACACACACAAAAGAAGGAAAATAAATATAAGTTTCATTTTTAAAACTCTTCACCCAAGATATAGTGAAAAATCAATTATGTCTGTTCTTCATCAACTGTTGGGAATAAAGTTTAAGTTTCTGATTCCTTGTGTGACTGTTAGATTAGATTGTTTCCTCCTAATTTCTGTTTTTCTTCTTTTATTTCTTCACCACACACAATTATGCTATAGCACATTAGAGACTTTAAGATGGAAAGAGATTACAGCTTTCTGCATTGAAAAGGCAGCACTCCTGCTGGACAAAAATAAAACTGGGATTTGAGAAATGTGTGTTGACTGAAGATGACATAAGTGAGATGAAATGAATTGGTCTTCGTTCAGTGAGTCCCTTTGGTCACAGGAAAATTACATTTTGTTGTCTTTCAAAAACTAATGAAAAGAGACAATAGTATATGTGGGAAAATTTAACTTGCCTTGTAAATGGGCATAGCAGTAATTCATTGTGTGAGGAATTCCAAATGGCCCAGTTATTGCAAATATGCTCTGATGTATTTCCTCTTCTCTGTTATCCATCACCTGGATGCTATGGTTTCTGCAAGAAATTTGTCCTTTCTGTTTCCTTCTTTTCAGATATCTTTCCAAATGCAGTTAACACAAATAAAGCTCAATTAAAGAATTTCATTCTAAAATATGAAACATAGTAGACTCACACTATAATTTACACTATAGTATTGAATACATCTAGTAAAAATTTAGAAATGAAAATTTTTACATCTGAGTTTGTGGAACAGTGAAGAGGTAATGAAGGAGAGTTTTGCAAAGGAATGTGATAGCATTCAAAATGAGAGCTGAGGAATACTGAAAATTAGACAGTGGAACCTTGGTTCACAAACTCGGTTTTTTCCATGATTCTGGTTATAGGTCAACTTAGATCAGAACTAAATCAAATTCAGTGATTAGATTCAATTTTGGCCATGTGAGGAAATTTGATCTGGTTCTCATCCACTTCAATTTGCAACAAGAACTGTGGAGAGAATTAAATTCATGGGCAGAGATACTAGTGTATGTTTGTATGCATGTGTATGTGCATATGTGTGTATGTGCATACATGCATGTGTGTGTGTGTGCGTGTGTGTGAGAGAGACAAAGGATGTAAGGCACACGCTCTTAGAAAGTCAGATGAATTAGCTCTGAAACAGCCTTGAGTCAAGACTATGTGAAGCATGATTATTAACAGTATTGGAAGGTTCCTGCCTATCGCAGTGTCAGTAACCTTTTTATGTTGTTGCATTGCGTTTATGGAAGGGATTACATTGGATACATTTCGAGGAGTGCATGTTTGCCTCATAATTCAGACTATTTCTTGAAATGTTTATGATTTTTCCAAACAGTTGTTCACACTATTTTAAATAATAAAAATATAGTTGTGGTGGTCTTGTTTCATTCAACCAAAGTTTCTTGAGTACCAACAGCACAACACTAGAACCACAAAAGCATGTATATATCTCAAGGACCTGATTTATTTTGTGAATCAGAAACATTCTTATTTTCATCATTCATCTGTCCTATCCACCATGCTTTGCAGCTTCTATGATCCATAAGGGAAGGCATTTACATTCACTACATGCCTATTCAATGACAGCCACTGTGATGAGCTTTTCAACTGTTACCTCGTTTCTTCCTTCCGACAACCTGAGAAC